TACACAATAGCGAAAAAGTCTTTAATAAAGAAAGTAAAATGTCCAAAAATATTACACTTGTATATTTTGAATGTTAAAGCATTCTTTTGCAACATATTTTATTAAAAAAATATTATTTTCTAATTTATTATAGTTTAAATTTTTATTGTTTTTGAAATAATTACAATTTTGTTTCACATTTACAATATTTTTTTTAAAAAATTCAAGAAATAAATTCATTTAATGTGGATTACTTATTAAGAATGTTTAATAACAACAGAATAAAAGTAAAGAGATTTATCTAGACTGTTAAAAATATTGTTCATAATTAAATAGAAAAATGCTAAATTTATGACAAAGTATTTTTTCATTTAAACTTTTGAGCTGGATTTCACCCTTTTTTCTGTTTATTTCTTTATTTATATTTTACAAAATCCTTTTTTACGTTTTTTTAGCATTTCAAACATCCAAGTTTTCTATATTTAATATTTTGATGTCTAACTTTCTTCTTTCTTTCAATAGTTTTTAAATTAAATAGCTAAAAAAATATTTTTAAGCTTTAACAAAAATTTTTTACTTCTTTTTATAATCGTTACTTTACTGAATTTTTAAATTTTATTTTATATATATATATATATAAATAAAAAATGAATTTTACAATATTGAAACTATAACATGGGTATAGGTATGTATATTACAACAAGAGTATTTTACGATTTTTAATACTATTTACCTTAAATAATACTGACGAAAAAAACAAATACAACACTTGAGAAAGTTATTCTTGTACCATTAAAATTCTTTTTGAAAAAAAACATGAACTTTAAAAATATAAATTTAAAAATATTATTTTTGGTAAATAATTTAAAATGTCATAATACAAAATTTAGGTGAAAACTGTTCAATAATTCTCGATACATAAATTATCGCCAATACATCTTTTATTAATTTTCGCTAAAACCAATCCAATTCGCTAAAAATATGGAAATGTCTTACATAAAAATACGTTAAGAAAATTGTAAAAAAATAAACATAATGTTCAAAATATTTACAATTTTTATTAAATTTATTTATAAAAAATAACTTAGGTGACTGATTAAGCAACTGAAATAGGCATTTGCACGAAAGTACACGGAGAAAAAAAAAATCTGGTAAAATTACTACACTATATGGTAATAAAATTTCTAGTTAAAAAAAAGTAATAAAATTTTCTAAAAAGAATCATAATTTTGTTAAACAAAATATACAGTATTTAAACCATGAATTATGTAATTTTTATATTCAAATTGAAGCAGTTTTCCAGAAATTCTGGTTTTCAACATTATAGCTTTTATTATCATATATTTAGTTAAAAATTAGAAAAATAAAAACTGAAAAGCTAATTTGACTTCATAAATGGTTTTAATGCCATGCTCTAAGGTATCATGATAAAATTCCCAAACTTTAACACATTTACAAAATTTTGTCACTTATTATAAAACTGTTTTTTATTGTTTTATAAAAACAAGTTACCAAAGCGCTTCGGTAAAAATTACCGAGTTTTTTTGGTGCTTCCATAGAGCCCGATGAATTTCAATTTTTACCCTAACCTGGTAGTTTTGACCATACTTTTGTCTCAGTGTACTTTTGATGCACTCCTTTATCGGTTAAAATTACTTCTTACTGCATGAAGTTCTGTTTAAAGTTAATCAAGCAAGCTTTATTCAAACTTTTCAAGTATAGTGTGGGAAGGAAAATAATAATTTTTCATCTAATGATCGTTTTTTTCCTATACTACTATAAAACATATTTATTTATGATTTTTAATTGCGACCTTAATTTGCTAATTAATTCGTGTAAGCAATATTTTAATTTACGAAAGCAGATTCAATGGCTCATACTCTTTTAATAATCGTTCTTAATGGTGAATTTAAATTTGCTCAAAAACGTACTTGCATTGAATTAACTTTAAAAAAAAAGTTTTTTTTAAAAAAAAGTTTAATTTTTAAGCCTAAAAAAACAGCTAGTTGCAATCCGAAAAATATGTTCTCATTAGTTATGACGGTAGAACAACCGAAATTTGGAGATCCTTAATATTTATTTCACATGTCGCATATTATTTCATAACTTTTAAAGGAAATAAACATTTGTGCACACAATTATTAAATCCCGTTATTCAAAAATAAATATGCGTAAAAAATGATTTATAATAATTTGTTACCATTTTTATTACTTTATTTAATAACTGTCGAAAATGTTTTAAATTGCTAGGTATACAAGATTTTATTGCTATTTAGTCTGCATAATTTTGAATGATAAATTCCAACTTTCAAACTACTATTTCTTTGCAATAGCAAAAAATGCAAAAAGGGAAATATTAAAGAGCTCAAATTCTGTCCGCTGTTCTGCCTAAGCAATTAAGATAACATATTCCAGATTAAGACTACCTCCAATAATTTGAGAGTCAAAAACCCAATTCTGTCGTAAAAAAGTAGATTTTTACGAGATTTTAAAATTGGATTTAGTTATTAGATCTTAAAATTAGATTTAGTTTATTCAGAGAAAGAACATTTAGTATCGAAATTAAAAAATCCTCTGCACTAATTAATAAGCATATTTAAGGTTAAGCCTTTGAACCATTAAGAGTGTGAAAGAATTCGTATCAAAACCCGATCATTGGATCAAAAGTTATCAAGGTATACACTCTTTTTGCACACTGTATATAGGATATTTTATGTGAAATAAAACTTTCACACTTATCGTTTTTTTTATTACCATACTAAGCTTTAAGAATGACATATAAGAATAGAATATGTCTAATAATAATAATGGAAAACTAAGTAGGTTACGACGATAAATATCAGCAAACGTGATTTAGCATGCATGTACGAAGAACCTATCCTCTCTTATGAGCTTCTCACTTATCTTACTAAGCATAATCTAGTGTTCTTCCGTCCGTGAAATCAGAAGAACTGTTACCATACTTCCGTTGAAGTAAAATATAGCGAAATAGGGCATTTATATCTTTTTTTATGCACTATATGACGTAGCACTAAAATTATCACAACTATTATGAGCGTTATGTCATGAATTATTTAAACGTGTAGATTTTTTGTTTGTTTTTTGTTTAAGGCATTCGAAATGGCCGTTTTTAGACGCGAAGCAGTAACAGTTATTTTACAACTGACAATTTTACAGTTAAAATTATGTTTTAGAGAGACATAGAAATTGGCATGTAAAGATAAATTATGATATTTTTTTTTATTTTTTTTTATTTTTTAACAGTTTTATACATTTCAGTAAAATTAATTTTTCTAGAAGCAAAATTTGCTCTTAAATTCAATAAAGTTTCGAAGAGCAATTACGTAGCCATATTTTTTGTGTGTGAGTTTTTTAAATATTTTCTATTTTTTTTTAAAAACAAAAAAATTAATTAGGATAATATTTATAAATTTTCATAGAACTATTTTATATTGTTTTATCCTTATTTAATACATCTATTTTTAAAAATTTGTTGTTTCGACTAATTCTTAATGTTACGTGCTCACTGTCCGTATCAAATTACAGTGTAAAGTACCGTAAAATCCATTTTTACCGAAAATATTGTATCGTAATTTTGCTATAATATTTGTTTAATTACAGTGATTTTACGATAATTATTGTTATAAAAGTTAAGATCAGATTCTTTTATTCCGTAACATATTTAAGTAAAAGCGGATTTTATGGTAAAAGTACCGGCACCCTCCCTGAATGCCAGTACTTTTTACAGTAATTTTATTAAAAAATTTTTACAGTACATCATGATTTGTAATAATTTTTATACTATTTGTATATTTTTACTCGTAACTCGGAATTTATGTAAAATAAAATTTTTTATTTTATTTTGTGCATTTGGATGTTTCTGCAGTAATTTTGATATTAATGATAAAAGAACTTTGTATTACTCGATTGAGAGAGATAATACTTTCTGTAGATTCGAGACTATAATTTATTCACTTTGCTTGAAAATTGTTTTCGGTGTCTTAAAAATTATTAGCGTATTTCAGACAAACTTAATTGGCAAACTTTAACATTTTACCGATAGCATTTAAGCAGTATAATTCGAATTTGCATATTGTTATTGTTATTTTATTTTTTTTTCTTCTAATTTTCTGTTGCATTAATTCTTGGTAATACTAGAGAGTTTTCTAAACAATGAAATTTTTAAAAAAATTATACTCATTGTTAATATAGGGCTTACACATGCCCTACATTAACAAAATATTTGATCGAAATATTATTCTATATGTGACACTACTATATGGACCCAAAAATTGGGTGCCTGTTCAACGTTGGTTATTAAATAATATATGTGTCTTCACTTCCGGTGAACATGACGCCCCACGGTGACTGAGTGGTAGAGCTTCGCGTTCTCGTGCCACAGGTCCTTGGTTCGATTCTTAAGCCGGGGATGGTTGACTCAACCTTTCATCCCTTCAGTGAGTTGATAAAATGAGTTCCAAACATGTTTGAGAACTAAACGCTCAGTGTTCCGCGTTCGGCTGCCCATCCAACTGAAACCTGCTCTTACACCCCTGAGTCCAAGCTCAAGAAAACTGAGATGGGCACAGTTGGCCTTGGCTCACAATGAGCTGTCACGCCACTGAGTCGAGTAACTAGTAGTAGTACGTGTCTTAACATACAAGTAGGTTTATTATATTTGATCTGTTTGGAATGTTATAAATATAGTATTCCTTAATGGGTTTAACCAGTGCTACTAATTTATGAAAGCGTTTGAAGCTGCTTGACATGGACTAGATCTAGGGAGCATATGAAGTTTTTTTTCCATCCTCTTTTACAAGAAGCAAACACTCTGCTTCAGATGGTCAGAAAACGCTGCAAACTCATATTGTTACGCAACTTTTAAAATTTAAACATTCTAATTCCATGAAGGATATGGACGAAACTTTCATTCTAAAATCCGTTTTTTCTCACAAACAGACTCGAAAACTGTTTTGCTTACTTCATTTTCCTTCTTACAACGTATCACCTTTCTCTTTCAGTTGGCGCAGGATCAGCTGGGGCCGTAATGGCCAACCGACTGTCCGAAGATCCCAATGTCAAGGTCCTGGTCATCGAGGCTGGTGGCAAGGAGAATTTGGTGACAGATATTCCACTGGCAGCCGCTATGCTTCAGCAAACACCCGTTGACTGGGCCTACCAGACCGAACCACAAGAGGCGGCGTGTTTTGGTCTCATCAACAGGGTGAGTAGTTTTTTCTTTGTCGTATCTCACGCAAGCCAAGCGGAAAATGTGTATCACCGAGTTTTGTTTGTATGGATTCCTTGAGTGGAGTATTATTGTGTAATGGATTTTGATGCTCTGTTTTAATTGAAAGCTCACAGAAACGATATCGAAAGGAGATAAACAGGCAATTGAGGTTACTCTGTCAGTAGGCTTTTATTATCTTTTAATCGCTGGAAGGCTATTTAATAACATAAGATTTAAAAAGAATATGGGAATCGAACTCATTTGAAAGTGAATTTAGGTGATTATGATCTTCGCTTTAAAGGCTAATGTAGAAATGTACTTTTTTTTTTAAAGATTCGATAATGAGGACTTTTCAAAATCTTTTTTTTATAAGCTTGTTAAGACTTTGAATGCAATTAGATAAAAGCTTCTATCGATTTCTTTATTGTCCTTAATTCGAGTATTGTTTGGAAAAGAGAAAGCAGATGCTACGAGAAACTGTAGTCTCGACTCCAACTACCGGCGAAACCAAAACTTCCAAATCCGAGACCATAATTGGTTTTTACAGTTACATATATTTTTTTAATTTTTTTTAAACAAAAATGTCTGTTAGTTCTCTCTGTGTCTAGACATTTTTCTACTTTTCCTTACGAGAAAATCACATAATTTTTTTTTCACCTTTTCCCTCCTGTTTGTCTCTGGAGTTCGTTTCATTTTTCACTTATTATTGATTCATTTGTTCATTAGTTTCATTTATATAGTTAAATTTGTTCTACTCAACACGCTACTCAATTTTAAATTAAGCGTTTTCTTAAATTTTGTGATTCATTTTACTTATTTTCTTTCATTTATTTATTTTGATTAATTTTTCATGTATTTATTTTATATAATTTTTATTTCATATATTTACTTCATTTAATTTTCAATTATTTATTTATTTTGCGCAAGGAGATTATGAACATTCAAACAGGATTTGTACTCGTATGTTATAACTATATATTTTGAAACAAGTTTACGTATTTGTTTGTCAAAATTATTTTAAAATTTTAGACATTAAGCACACGTAAAAAAATACGTCGTCTCTTTTACCTTTTTTAGCCAAGGTTCTGCAAGACGCATAAACCTACTTACAGATCCAATGATAAGTTATTCAACTATTATTAAATTTAAAATATATTCTTCCTAGAGGTTTGAAAGCTAAATAAATTTAACTTAAGCCAGTATAAGTTGTTGAATAATTATTAATCTTGAAATATGACATAAATAAGGCATCAAGATAATGTTGCAATAATATAAATAAATAATATTAGAATTTTAAAAGAAACCGAAATAATTATTATTTCATTGTTCAACAGTTTTTTACAACTGTATAACATTGAAATTAAGTTCAATACACTTAATATTTGCATTTAACAAACCGGCAATTTTCGTTCACTGTATATTAATAAGTTGCTGCCCTTAATTCTTACCACACATTCCTGTTGCCTCCTTCTGCAAAAGTTCATAAGGTGTGGCATCATTGATAAATACAGCCTACTATCATTTTCAACTATTCTACTATCCTACTTTCCTACTATCATTGCAGCTATTATCATTTTCAAAAATAAATCATTCCTTATTTAAATAATATTCAATTACTAAGGAAATTTGAATTACACGTATTTTGTAATTGAAAACCAATTATGGTATACATATTTCCCTTAAACTTAGGGTCCAATATATTGAACTATATTTGGTACAATTTTATCTTTTATAAAATAAGATTTTTCTGTTTAAATAATTAGTTTTTATTGTTTGCCTGACTTTAGAAAGGGATTGGTATCTATGTTACAGTATAATTGGATTTAAGGTCATTTTTCGAAGATTTCAATTGCAATAAAAAATTACCGGAAAGGTTAAGAAATTAGATTCAAGTATACTTTTGGGCAGTTTTAAGCCATATAAATATTTTTTATTAGAGTCAACACTGTAAAAAATTTTGGTGTATAATTGACACAACGTTTAGTGCTGAGGTATATTAAAATTTTTTACAATCCATGCATTCGCATTTTTTATTTAATTTTTCACTGATATAGTTATGCGTAATTTTTTTTTTGTTTATTTATTTATTTTTATTATTAATTTATTTTATATTATTTTTTTATTACTAATAAAAAATATTTTTATGCACATTAGAATCAATTTATGGCTTCATTGCGAAAACAATCAATTTAAAAAACAAGCACATTTTTAGTAATAATTTCGCGCTAAATATTTTAAACAAATGATTTTTTTGTCAATTTTACATAATTTTTAACATGATAGCTGCAATTCAGTGCTTAAATTTTTTTTTTATTTACTTCAAAACCAAAAATAGTTGCAACTATTCATTAACATTTTTATGCGAAAAAAATTTTTAAAATTATCTATAAAAATATCCTTTAATCCACAGAAAATGTCAATAATTAAAACTAATCATTTTTTAGGTTAAAACGAAAGGTTTTAAATATTTTTTTCACCTTTTTGAGTTTAAAATTTTCAGGTTTTGGTTCTAAACTATGCACTTTGAAGTAAAAATTGCATTTTCTGCAAATATCATTAGCTAGAGAGAGTCTCGAGAAGTTCGGCAAAATTTGTTTGAGACAGAAATGACGAACGTAAAACTTAGTACCTTTCACCATATCATAACTGCTATAAATATATTGAATTCATTTTAAGTCATCCGATACTTTATGAATTTCAATTACTTGTTGTTTATTACATTTATAGCAAATTTCAATATACTATGAGATTTTGTTTTCATATTATGTATCTTTAACTACCGAGAATGACGCATTGGTATATTTTTATATCATGTAGTTTTCTTTCAGGAAATTTCCATCATGATGGTTGTTAATTTATTGAAGAATATTGATAAAGCTAAAATAATGCATTAATTTAAGCATCTAATATTTATAAATCTGCATATTAATAAAAAATTTCTTTTTGAAGTTCTATTTCCTAATTTCTTTGTTTTCCACGACATTCTAAAAAACCATGAATTGGATGATTCCTCTTCGAAATGTAGCCGTTCAAATTATTTGCCCAAAAACTTATCTATTAGCCTAATGAAATATAAAAAGATAATGGTCAAAAATCATCTCACATTGTTATCGGCCGTTGTCATGTGGCAGGATCAAATTTTAAATTAAGAAAACTTAGAATTCTTCGATTTTCAACAAAATAAAATTAATTTTCACCTAATTATTGAAATCATAAAATTAATTTTTAATATTTCTTTATACCTAACTTAAGCTTTTGATGCAGATGGGAGAACGACTTTTCTTTTTTTCAGACGCTTTAATTACAAGCTATATCCCTCAGACCAGTGTTTCCCAAAGTGTGGTACGCGTGTACCCCCAGGGGTACGGGAACAGTTTAGAAGGGGTACGCGTTCTTATGCGATATATATTGCAACAAATGAAAATTCATAAATATTGTTTAAAAACAAAGCTAGCCATGCAAATTTACTATTGCGTATTTTTCTATTGACTATTTTTTGCAGAGTTAACAGTTAATAATTAGTGGTGTCAACAGCCAGCTGTGATTTTTAACTTTTGTGCAATTTTTTTATTGTAAAAAATGCATCCATTTTTTTATTAATGGTACACAGCGTTACGAAAAATTTAGAAAGGGTACACAAAAGTCATAAGTTTGGGAAACACTGCGTTAAACTATCGGCATCCATTAGACTTAGACTGTTGGATCTATATTTGTAGTAAAATATGATAATCCAAATTAGTAGAAATATTTTTACATTCATATTGTAATATTTGTCAATTAACTGATTTTGTAAAAGGGAAAAATTTCAATAATGAATAACTGTTCAGCTTGGATCTAAATAATTGCAAACAAGTGCAAATGTAAAATTTTTTTTTTTGTACAGTGAACCGGGTTTGGAAGATTTAACCTTTATCGCAGAAAAAAGACACCGGTCTTTCATGTTGTATTTCATAACCATAAATTACTAAAATACTAAGTATAATACTTTACGTTTATTTTGACCTAAATTAATACAAAATTAGGAAAAAGAAATGTGTTTAATAAAAAATTCCGCGTTAAAGGGTAAATGGTATTTATTTATCATTCTTTCTTAGTATTTTCCTTTGTTATTATTAGATTTTTAAAATTGATTGTTATTTAAAATTTAAATAACCATTAAGAAATATATAAAAAGTTTCCACACTTAATAGGCCTTTTTATTTTCAAATTCCGAAGAGAAGCACCTTTCTCACTTAAATAATTTCAGCCTTACGCCTCGGTAAATGATAAGTTTATTGTTCTCTGTCATTATTTTTAATTGAAATTATAAATTCACTAAAACATTTATTTAGTTGGTTTATTTTAGATCTATTGTTTTGCTTTAGCTCTCTGTAAGCTCTTCAAAGATGGCGTGTGTAAATGAAAACAAAAGTACATTTAAAAAAATAAATTATGATTTATTTTATTTTATTCAATTTCTCACCCTTTTTCTTTATTTTAAATTTATTTCTACGTTGAATAAAATATATATTTAGGTGAATCACATGGGCCATTAATCTTATTAAAACAATGGAAGAATAGTTGCGAAAAAACGTTATTAATGTAGATTTTTGTTCTTTCCTTTGTTGATATTAGAAATTATACGACAGAATGAAATAAACAGAAGAATAATTAACAAAAATAAGACTTATTTTTTTAAGCTTTAATCAGGTTTGATGATTTTTGCTTAATTTGACTCTCCATTGTTTCTTTAATTACAGAGAAGTCGGTGGCCGAGAGGACGAGTTTTGGGTGGTTCCAGCGTCATCAATTACATGCTGTATGTGAGAGGCAACAAGAAAGATTACGATTTGTGGGCCCTGGGAGGGGCACATGGTTGGAGCTGGAATGAAGTTTTTCCATACTTTTTGAAATCCGAAGATAATCGAGATCCTGCAATAGCTAAAAATGGTAGGTGTTCGTACAAGGAGAAAAAAATTCTGGTAAAATTACCGTACCGTATGGTAATAACATTTCTTGTATTAAAAAAAAAACATTATTCTGGTGACAAAAACGAAAATAAACGGTTTTTAAACCATTCACTTAGTAATTTTCTCAATCATATGATGACGGTTAACCGAAATTCCGGTTTTGAAAACCATAATTCTTATTACCTCACATTTAATAAAAAATACAAAACTGAAAAATAAATTTAACCGAATAAATGGCTTTGATGCCGTGCTCTAAGATTTATTATTTATTATAAAACCATTTTAACATTTATTATAAAACCATATTTCATTGTATTAATGTTACCGAAGTCATTACTGAAGAGCTTCGGTAAAAATTACCGACCCTTTTGGTGTTTCTATAGTGCCAGAAACATGATAAATTTTACCACATTCTAGTAGCTTTTGTATTTATTGTATAACTTGTGCATTTTATTGTATAATTTGTAAATGACTTAAGACGTAAGTTTAAAAACTGAAATCAAAGACAATTTGTTGCTGACAAGTGCGCCTAAAACCCATTATCACGCTATACAAAGTTAATGTATAAAACAATTATGCTAACATTTAGTTTTTTGAAATTTCCCTAAACTTCTTCCACTAAACTAATTAAATTAATACATTGATTAAAGCGAATATTTTTCAAACTTTTTTTATTAATATTTCTTAAATACTTACTCTAAGTAATAATTTTTTTACTGGTACATTTCTATTAAAAACAAAAATTTTAAACATTTCCATGCAATCATAATATGAAAATTTTAATAAAACAACTTATAGATTTTCAGCAGTCGTCCTGTTACATATAAAGATATATTGATAAATTAGTGTCAAAAACTAGATAAAATGCATTATATTTTAAATACTTTCCTTTTTAGAGAGCTTTAAATTTTTACCTGGATCAACGTATTTGTTATATCGTAATTGCTCCTGACTATACACTGTAAAAAATAACAGTAAAAAAGTATCAGCAATCAGGGTGTCGGTATTTTTTACCGATTTTTATAGAAACATGTTACGGAACAAAAAAATCTAATATTCAGTAATTTTTATTGGAATAATTACCGTAAAATCACTGAATCACTCTAATTAAAAAATATTGCACTAAAATTTGCTGCACAATAGTTTACAGCAAAAGTGGATTTTACTGAAAAATGGACTTGACTGATGATGGTCTTGACTGATGTCGGTACTTTGTACCGACACTTTGAGTGCATCATTAAGTTATTTGATCGCTTTAAGTTATTTGATCCAGAATAATTTACAGTGTATGTAGTTCTTCATTATTTGAAACTATATAAAATTTAAATAAGTCGAAAGTGTGTTTTCTGTCAAAGCTCACTGCGATATATTTATTAAGTTTATCTAGTTAAATACGTAAAATAACCTTTTCTAAATTGTGCACGTCACTCGAGTAATATAAAAGAAGTGTCTCTGTTTAAGCTTTAGCCGTTGACAATCAAACACAATCAACGCCTGAAGTCAAATATAAAAAGTGAGTAGATGTGAATGATATTACTTCTGTCACCTCAAACAAGTCATAAAAAGTTAACAGCTTATTGTTGTTTAACAATGTAACTCGTGCTTAGACCCTATAGTTACATGTCGACTTATTTCATCCATCATGTAAGATTATGTTGTTTTGGACTTAACTTAATTTTGCATCACACGTATTAGATTTTGGAGAGTATTGTTAAAAAGAGAAGCCTTTAATTCTGAACCCCAATTGATTTGTTAAACGTAATTAAAACACGAAATGCTTGTCATGATAATGATATAGAATAGTAAAAAGTTGACGTGAATCGTTCATTGTATACCTTAAATCTGTTGTATTGCACTGAAATTTTATTTATTACTATTTGAATGCCAATTCTTTGCACGGAGTAGAAAAAGTTAAATAATTGATAAATTGGTCAGTCAGTAAAAAGTTAATAAAAACATCGATAATTAATATTTCCCACTACACAATCAAATCCGAATCAGAAAGCCATGTGTCAACTACATCAAATCAGTTAAAATATAGTTTCCATTTCTTTTTATTATTTTTTTTGAACACTTTACGTTATTAGATTATTCAAAACATGCTTTGTTTTATTTTATAACCGTCGTTGAACACTCGACCCAATTTTGAGTTTACGACTACTAATGTCACTAATCAGTACCCCCGAGGTAGGATTTGTTATGGGAACATAGAGGACTTAGTGACTCGACAGATTTAACGTGCATCAGTCACCATTTACTACGCCGGGAATCTTCGGCCAGCGGGGATCGAACTCATAATTTCTTGGACAAGGGCCCAGTACCCTACCAACCAGACTATACCGGCTCCTCAAAACATGCTTTATCGAAGTTAAATTCATCAAAATAAAGAATCAGTATTTTATCAGTATTTTTCAGCAGTACTATATCAGTATTTTTCAGCATCGAAAATGATGTTAATCGATTATTGATTGCTGCCAACGTATGCTAGTCAATATTTTTGACAATTAAATTTTTTTTTCAAGTAAATGTCACTTAAGTAAATAATGCTTTTTTTTATTTCAGTTTCCGTTTATAAGATAAACATTCTGCAAAAACGTAATTTTAATACAAATAAACACGTGATTTCAAATAGAGTACTAAGGCTACTATACTAGGGGTCTAATTCAGGGGCTCTATGGAATACAAATTACTAATTGGAAACCAGTGAGTAACGTCACCATAACAGAATCGTGAGATTTGTCGATTCAAAAACCAATCAGGTTTGACATACACGCGTGACGTCGCTCACAGATATCCAATTAAATCTGATTTAAATCACACGATTAGGCATAATCTTCTTCTCGAGTTACATTACCTGATAGAGACACATACTCAGTTTGCTTGAAATTGACTGACATAATAAATCAAAAATAATTCATTATAGAAGAAGATGCAAAAGATTTCTTTTTTTGTAGCACAATTTCGTATTTTCCTACAGACACGTTGAAAGAAGTTGAAAAAAAGATGTACGATTAGTTTTTCTCTCCATTCTTGATTGCAACGTTACTGATGAATTGAAATAACGAATTGATTGACATCATGTTAAAAAAAAGTAGATCTCAAAAACACGAGAAATTAAATTACATTCGTTAAGTTGATACTCATTTGGTAAAAAAGCATTTATTTGGAATTTTCGCCTAAAATACCAACAAACAAAAACTCTGAAATTTGTAGCAATATTTCTTATTTTCTATGAATATTTACTGACATTATCAGAGATAAAAATTTACGACTCAGTTTCCTCATAGCTTATACAACTGGTACCTGCAAGTGATCCTGGGTAAATCGTAGCATTTGTCAATTCAGATGTCAATTAGGTTCAACACACATGAATGACGTCACTTACTGGTATCCGATAAAATCTGATTTAGATCACATGGTTAGGCATTGCAAGTACCTAATTGAATTAAATGAACAATTGTGATTGGAATTAAGAGTGTTATAATTTTGCTATCTGCTTTTAAATATTAGTATCTCTTAAGAAAAACTATCCTTCATTTTAAATATTTAAATTAATGTATTCTGGGCTTTATTTGAATTAGTAATAAAGGGTGGTAATGAGGCTTACAAGTTTGCTGCTAAATTCAAAAACTTAATTGATTAGTATCAGATTTTTAAATGGTGAACGAAAAACAAGAAAGAAAGAATGATTATAACTAAGGCCCGGAGTTTGATGACATTTGCATTTTTTTTGCATTTTTTGCATTTTTGGACATTCTTTGTCCTTTAGAGCATTTTTTGAGATTTATAGGGCATTTTCTTTAAAATTTTGGGGCGAATTTTGCATTTTAAAGCATTTTTTAAATTTTTTTGTTAAATTTTTCTAATTTTCATTATTTTTTATTATTACACTGGCTTCCAAACAATGAAGAAAATTTCTAGGATATTAACAGGTGAAGCAACATCTTTTCAAATTGAAAAAGAATTGTCAGTAAGTGTGACCGTCCTTTTCAAGTACGCACCAATAACATCAGTAGACGTTGAAAGAAGCTTCTCCTGGTATAAAAATTTGCTTTCAGACAAGAGAAGCTCGTGTACATTTCAAAATATTAAAAAAAAAATTTAATAATCCACTGTAATTCTGATATTTAGTAATATTATGAGATGGAAGTTGTTATATTCATTTAAGTTTCTATACAAAATGAAAATGTTTTGGAGTCAATATATTTTCCTTTTTTTTTGTTATTTTAGGATATAAAACATATTTTTCAAACTTTAATGAACGTTGAACAAGTATTGCATTGCTTTATATTTTTTGAAACGACTCATAATAATTTTGAAGAGTGAAACATTGTTTTAGTTCAATATTTTTACTTCTATTTAAGTCATGTCATAAGGCATTTTTAGCGCAATTTTCACATTTTAAGGGCATTTTTTGCACTTTTAAGGGCATTTTTTGCACTTTTTAAGGGCATTAATTGAGTTTGTTTTAGGTCATCAAAATCCGGGCTCTAATTATAACTATTGAAACAAGAAAAATCACCAACTGCTTTTCACAGATCAATACTCATATTGTTGAATTTGAGTGGAATTTTTGACGAATTAAATTTAAATTACAATTTCATTAGAATAGCATTAGGCTATCAAAGCTATTTTGGCTCTGAATTTCACATTGATATGTTATAAACAAGAAACCTTATGCAATGTGCTAGTTAAATTTTCTTCGAAGAGTGTCCATTGTGTTGCCTAAATAATGACGTATGCATGGATTATTTTAGTAAATGAAGTGTATTTTCTCCACCTAGCGAAATGTGTGAAAACATTCATTTTTTCTTTTGTTTATTAATCAGGTTATCACGCGACTGGAGGTTATTTGACCGTATCTACGCCATCGTATGCTACACCCTTAGCCTTCTCTTTCGTTGAAGCCGGAGTACACCTTGGTTATCAAAACATTGATATAAATGGACCACAGCAAACAGGTAAGATCATAAAATATCTCAATTTTTCCTGCATTATCTTCAAGCGCACCTATAGTAAAAACTCGATTATCTAAATGACTTTTAAACACGCGCTCATTTATCCAAATGCCAAAAAAGACGCGCACTAAGACTTTCTGCAATATTCTTTCAAAAATACATAGGTTGTGTTACGGGATTTATCTTCTTTTTTTTTTCAATAAGTGAATGCTGATGAAAATTTAAAAATATTCTGATATTTACTTTAAATTAAATTTTATTTCAATAACATTAATATTTCTAAAATAGTAATAATTTAGAAAATATTCGCACACGAAAATTAGCAGTTTTTCTGTATTCAAAGATAACGTAACGAAACGAAAATTAATGAAAATTATTGCTTAAAGATTACTTAAAGAAAACTAACGAATATCAACAATATTTCTTAATTTAATTAATCAAATTTAATGATATATTTTTTTCTGTTATTAAAATATTTATTTAAAATTATTAATTAGAATATTTTTAAACAGTAAAAAACTTAATGAAATTCCTAAAAATGAATTTCAGCTCCATGCTCTCGTTTTAAGCAATTAATAATATAATCAAGAAGTAAGAAGGAGAAATTATCATTGCATTAATTCAATTTTCAAATATTCTACTAAAGATATTAACGTCTTTTGTTTTGCGTGAGCCTAAATTGTTTACATTAGCTACCTATGAAGAACTCGGATATCAACTAATCCTTGACATTAACCTTAAAATATGCCTTAAAATCATTAAATTAATTCTACAATATTTTATTAGACGAGATACATATCATTACATCCTAGCTTTTCATGTACCTAAGAACTAAGAAGAACTCGGACAACGACTTATCCTTAGCATTAACCTTAAAATAAGCTGATACATCTATCATTGAATCAATTCTTCAATTTTTATTAAACGAAAAACACATATTTACATCTTTTGCTTTTCATGTTCCTAAGAGCTACCTACGAAGAACTCGTACAACTAANAAAGATAACGTAACGAAACGAAAATTAATGAAAATTATTGCTTAAAGATTACTTAAAGAAAACTAACGAATATCAACAATATTTCTTAATTTAATTAATCAAATTTAATGATATATTTTTTTTCTGTTATTAAAATATTTATTTAAAATTATTAATTAGAATATTTTTAAACAGTAAAAAACTTAATGAAATTCCTAAAAATGAATTTCAGCTCCATGCTCTCGTTTTAACGCAATTTATAATATAATCAAGAAGTAAGAAGGAAAAATTATCATTGCATTAATTCAATTTTCAAATATTCTACTAAAGATATTACGTCTTTTGTTTTGCGTGAGCCTAAATTGTTTAAATTAGCTACCTACGAAGAACTCGGATATCAACTAATCCTTGACATTAACCTTAAAATATGCCTTAAAACCATTAAATTACTTCTACAATATTTTATTAGACGAGATACATATCATTACATCCCAGCTTTCAATGTACCTAAGAGTTAAGAAGAACTCGGACAACGACTTATACTTGGCATTAACCTTAAAATAAGCAGATACATTTATCATTGTATCAATTCTTTACTATTTTATTAAACGAAAAACACATATTTACATCTTTTACTTTTCATGTACCTAAGAGCTACCTACGAAGAACTCGTACAACTAATGCTTTACATTAACCTTAAAATATGCTGACACATCTATCATTGAATCAATTCTTTACTATTTTATTAAGCGAAAAGCACATATTTACATCTTTTGCTTTTCATGTACCTAAGAGCTACCTAAGAAGCTCTCGAACAACTAATGTTTTACATTAACCTTAAAATATGCTGACACATCTATCATTGAATCAATTCTTTACTATTTTATTAAGCGAATATTTACATCTTTTGCTTTTCATGTACCTAAGAGCTACCTAAGAAGCTCTCGAACAACTAATGTTTTACATTAACCTTAAAATATGCTGACACATCTATCATTGAATCAATTCTTTACTATTTTATTAAACGGAAAACACATATTTACTTCTTTTATTTTTCATGTACCTAAGAGCTACCTAAGAAGCACTCGAACAAGAACTAATGCTTTACATTAACCTTAAAATATGCTGACACATGTATCATTGAATCAATTCTTTACTATTTTATTAAACGAAAAATACATATTTACATCTTTTTCTTTTCATGTACCTAAGAGCTACCTACGAAGAACTCGTACAACTAATGCTTTACATTAACCTTAAAATATGCTGACACATCTATCATTGAATCAATTCTTCACTATTTTATTAAACGAAAAGCACATATTTACATCTTTTGCTTTTCATGTACCTAAGAGCTACCTAAGAAGTACTCGAACAAGAACTAATCCTTGAAATTAAGCTTAAAATATGCTGACACATCTATCATTGAGTCAATTCTTCACTATTTTATTAAACGAAAAACACATATTTACATCTTTTGTTTTTCATGTACCTGAACTCGGACAACAACTAACCCTTGACATTAACCTAAAATATGCTGATCTGATGCACTTGTCATAGAAAAAAAACGTTCAACACCTTCGCAGGTCAGTCATTCCAACCCAGAGTTCCCAAAACACCTGCTGTCTTAGCACAAAACTGACAAAACGGAAATTAAATCTATTTAAAATGAACCATATTGTATTGTTAGTAGAGGCTTTTTATTTTTCTCCACGCTAGTTGTCGTAATTCATCTTCAAGGCGTTTCAAATGTCACTCGCCTCCGACAGGAGGGCTACTTTTTGAATAGCTTTTGGACTTGGTCATCAACTTGCATTCTGTCCGTCATTATGTACTGCTGGTGAACTTCAGAACAGTGTTCTAAAGGTTCTTAATGAAACACTTAACAATGCAACTAATGTTGTCCTTTTCTTCTTGTGATTCTTTCTCGACCTGTAAACAGTCATACAATTTTGCAAGGATTCAATCAGCGAGACTGTTTTCAATTAGAATAAATATCTTTAAAAAAAATTTTAATGTCAATTGTCAGAAACGATTAAACGTTTTCAATCAATGTTTGATAGAAAAAATAATTTATTTATTTAATATTTTTTTGTGATATAGTACATTAAACGATGGCATTTAGTTTAATTATAATCATTAAAGAAAAATCATGCGTGAAATAAATAAATAAAAAATGATTACATAACTCTGAATAACCGACGATACAATGATCAAATTTTCACATACTTAAATTTTATTTTAAAAGTTTGAAAGAACGTCTTGAATTCTAGTTCATCCTATACTAGGAATTTAATTTCAAAATCAAACACAAAGCGTACTTTTTATTGTTTATTTATTTATTATTTTTTGATGATATAGTACAGGGGTGGCCAAGCTCATTGATAGTCGAGCCATTTTTCAAAATTTATAATTTTCTGCGAGCCGCAATTAAATACGTATTCAAAAGGTATGCAAAAAAAGGTCTTAAAATTTTTTTTTTACATAAATTATATTTATTGAGAACATAAAAGCAAAAGTACAAAATATGTGTATTGAATTTAAATATTAAAAATTAAACATATTTATTTTACTTGATACTTCTTTAAAATTTGGTGAATAATTGGCGACAGCACTCCTCAGTAATTCTTTCAAATGCTAGTTAGTTAATACTGATCGGTTTTTAGATTTCACGAATTTTAAAGTGGAATAAAATGACTCACATAAGTGCGTTGTTCCGAATATTGAAATAATTCTACAATCAGCCTTTTTTAATTCAGGATACTTCGATTCTGGTTCAATTTCCAAAATTCAGTAATCAACGTCGACTTATATTTTAATTGTAAAGCTTGATCTTCTTGCATCTCTATTAATTCTAATTCTTCAGATGCTTTTTGCGTCATAATTATATTGGAAATAGAAAACTCACCTTGAATTGAACAACGTGGCACTTAATCTTTCATATTTGTTCTCAGTAATTTAAAGGACATTCTGAAATACATACGGAGCGATAATAACTTTTTAAAATATAATATCACAAAAATTGAAAGCGAACTCGGGTACATTTATCGAGAGCCACAAATAATCCATCAAAGAGCCGCATGTGGCTCGCGAGCAGCAGGTTGGCCACCTCTGACATAGTACGTCAAAAAATATTGCATGAAAAAATAATTAGTGATAGTGTTCATGATAGTATCATAATAACAATCATTTATGTAATCATGCATGAACAGTGAGCAGAAAAAGAGAATCTTGAATAATTTTTTATCTAATAATCGGATTTTCACCTATTACGATTTAATTTTAATGGTTTCAAATGGAGCATTTAAACCATAGCTAGTCTCATATATGAATTAAATTGCGAAATCAACACAAAAATGTTCTTTCTCCTAATAAATACACTCCTTTTCAACCCAATAAAGATTACACTCCTTCGGGCATTTTATTTCATAACTGGCGTTGAATAGCCGACCACATTCTGAGCTTATGACTACCAAAGTTCAATTCCGTTGTCTTTAAACGTTGAACCTAACCCCAGAAGACAAGAGAACTCCCGGATCAAGCATTGGGGCGAACTATTCTTAATGGAGAACTCTTTGAGAGAACTAACTCGCATTCGCATTACATGGAGAGGAAAAATACAGAAAGGCACCCACGTTAGCCCAACGGCAAAGAAATTCTAGCCCATGATCTATCACTGAGGATATTTTTACATCAGCACTGTGGTCTGTGAGAACCGGGAGCAGAATTTGTATCAACCAGCCACCGCAAATGTTTGAACCAAGGTCAACTCATCGGGAGGCGAACGCTCTATCACCTGAGCAACCAAGATTTTCCTTCAGATGTTTTAATTAATTTTATAACAGTCGTTAATCAGCCGACCTAATTTTGAGTTTACGACTACCAATGTTCAACTCGGGAGCCTTGTAACTCCGTAATTTTGATCCCAATCCGGAAGACAAAGGAGCTTCTTAAGTATTTAGAGAAATTTGCTATAGTGGAGGACCTTTTTATGGAATTATACCGCACTTGCGCTACATGGAAAGG